GGCTGGGACCTGGTGATTGACAGCCGAGGCTGCGAATAGCCAGAAAAGCAAAATCACGTATTTATACGTGATTTTGTGCACCCGTGTCGCCCTGTAGCAGCATTACTGCTATAGGGTGGATGGGAAGCGGTTAATCAATGGTTACTGGATCCTGATAAAGCTTTTTTTTATGGTGAAACGCGTAGCTCCATGACGCTTATTCAAGACGTTTTAAGTTATTACACCTTCAAGCCATAATGTAATGTGTCCCATTTTTGGTGGAAAGCTGGGAATGATGTATCCTTTTATGACGTTTTTAAATTTGTAACAAGGTTTCTTGTTTTTATTTTTGTTTGTTTGTGGTATTCCCTGTAAGACGCGCTTAAAGTCCCATCATCTACATCTCTCTCTCAGCTCCCGTTTGATAGGGCTGGCAGGAGATACAGTATATATATTGTATATATCAGGGCTTAAAATTTCAAGTCTTGAGCTACTAGCCAGGTCTTAAGAGTTACTCGCCACCAACAAACACACACATACAGACACGTATACACACACAGGCATGTACAGACACACATACACACAGATACATGTACATACATACACACACATGTACATACAGACACATGTACGTGCATACACACAAACACACACACACATGTATACACACACACAACCTATAAGAAGTTGCAGTACTTCGTTGTTCACTCACAGAGCCGTGTACTGCACTCTAGGGGGAAGCAGAGAGCACAGCACACACTCCTTCCTTTGCTTTCACTGCGCTCAGCTATTGAGCAGCCTGACGGCTCCCAGTGCCAATGACAGATCTGGCCTGAGCTCCGAGCCTGCTCAGCAAGATGGCGCTGGGGGACACACTTGCCCCCACCATAATTTCCACTCGCCATTGGCGAGCAGGCGAGTGGAAATTTCAAGGCCTGGTATATATTGTACCAAAAGGGAGGGTGCTTTCTTGGAAATAGATGTGTTGTTTGGCACCACCCCCGTACGAGATTATAATTGTTAAATCTTTGATAGGCAGGTTTCATTCTGTTACAATTCTACTTTAGAGCAGCTGAGGAAAGGGGGAGTTTATGCCTGAAACTGCCTGAGTATAATTAAACTGTCTGAAATCTTCCTTGACCCCAGGTTCACACCTTTTGCAGAAACGCAGTACAGTCCATTTAACATGATTTCCTATGGGACAGGTTCACATCTCTGCGTTTTCACCTGGTGCGTTTTTTGGAAAGGGTCAGGGATTTTTTCTTTGAACGCAAGAAGTTGCGTTTTTGGTTCTATAGACTTCAATGGAAACGCATTTTAGTGTGTTTTTGATGCATTTTTTATGTGTTTTGCGTTTTAACCTAGCAACAAAAAAAAAAATGGAACCCCCCCGCAAAACGCGGTAAAAACGCAGGTGCAAAGCGCAATGCAGAAACAGCTCAAACGCAGCCTAAATCTGTCTCACTGCAACAGAATTGATGTGTCCTTCGATGTTCTTTGAGTTTAGGCGTTAAGTCAGCATTGACGCTCATGTCTGGCATTAATATCATGGCTAAGCTCTAGGTCATATAAGGGAGCTCAGGGGCAGCAATTTGTTATTAATGGAAATATTTACAGTCTTTAATTTTTATCAAAATATATTAAAGCTGCTCCCCCCCCCCCCCCATCTCATAAACAAATTATCGCTCATTCTTGCAAAAAAAAAAAAAAAAACAGCTATCACCCAGTACTTGCCCTACTCCATTGTCCTGCAATAGCTGTGGGCCAGGTCCTCCGCTCCGCTCTCCAGCACTGAAATGTGGGGGCACACTCCTACCCAGGGGCGGACTGACCATTTGGAAACTCGGGCACTGCCTGAGGGCCCGGGGTCAGTAGGGGGCCCCGTAAGATGCCCCTGGTACCCTTTTCATAGTCTTTTTTGAGTTTGGGCAAGGACACAGGGGCCCCATGATCCCCTATTGCCCAGGGCCCCATGAGTTGTCAGTCCGCCCCTGCTCCTACCAGTAGTCAAGTCTCAGGCCGCTTTTCACACAAGGCAATTAGTTGAATGCCCTGTGCAGGGCCATGTGTTCTCGGCATGGGGATGCACAGGTGTTGCGTGTTTCCCCATGCTGACAATGTGGGTGCATTCGAGGTGGTGGCACCTGCACCCGCACGCATGTCACATTGGGACACAGAGGCTGTGTCCTCGCAACTGTGTGTGCCTATATGGGACTGCTGGCATGGGAATGCATACAATCAGGCCTGGTACAAGGGGTGTGGGGGAGGGGCGGCTGCCCTGGGTGCAGTGGTTTACTGTAGGGATGGGGGGGGGGGCGCTTTTCTTCTGTTACAAGGCTGACAAGAGTAGTGATAGATCAGATAGTAGCGTTTGGACGTCCAGGCTGGAGATGAGTGCAGAGCTGGAAGCTTAGACATTAAGCCCATTCAAGGTCCATTCCAGTACCCAGAGAGGGGATCTCCTGTCTACCCAGGAAGCTGTACCCACCAAACCCTGTAGGGGACCTCTGGCTGTCTTGGATCACCGTAAAGCCCTGGAATCACCCAGTGTGCCACATACCCTTCAGAGGGAGGATTACCTACCATCTGTTCTACCCTGATCCCTTTGAGAGGACATCTTGACCTATATTTATATACGCATTTAAGTTGCGCATCTGGTGAGTGTGCAATTTCACTATTTCCATCTGCACAAGCACCGGAATACCTTTGAAGCAAGCACCTTCAGAGCACTATTGTCACTTTTGGAACATTTATAATCATTTATCCATGAACTATATTATATTTATTGCAAAGGCACCTTATTAGATATATTCTTTCTAGTGCTGCACTACATTGTATTATAGTGATAGATCACTGATTTTGACAAGTGAGCGACGACTGGGACGACGATCCATTAAGCTTGCACATCATGAATAGGGAGGGGGGCGCAGTAAAATCAGTCTGTATATGCAGTAAAGCATTCTTGTTATACTCACTGTGGAACCTAAGGGGTTAATCCTCCGCATTGTGTAAAAAGGCTGTTTGATCCTGTCTTCTCTGCCCCTCCTCTTGTTGAAATGACCACCTGATACAAACTGAACCCGTGGTCAAATGCCACATGCTCAGATTGCTGTGTATTGCTAGAGAGGTTTTTTTTTTTTGGGGGGGAGGGTGCATGTGATCAGTTCTACCCTGATCCCCTTGAGAGGACATCTTGACCTATATTTTTATACGCGCATTTAAGTTGCGCATCTGGTGAGTGCGCAATTTCACTATTTCCATCTGCACAAGCACCGGAATACCTTTGAAGCAGGAACATTCAGAGCACTATTGTCACTTTTGGAACATTTATAATCATTTATCCATGAACTATATTATATTTATTGCAAAGGCACCTTATTAGATATATTCTTTCTAGCGCTACACTACATTGTATTATAGTGATAGATCACTGATTTTGACAAGTGAGCGACGACTGGGACGACGATCCATTAAGCTTGCACATCATGAATAGGGAGGGGGGAGCAGTTTGGCATCTTTTCCCTGGGCGCTGGATGACCTTCCCCACGCCGGTAACACATGACCCTGCACGGGGACATGTAACTAATCGCCCTGTGTGAATGGGGCCTTATCCAGATGAGATGGCTGTTTGTCCTGCACTGGGAACAGAGCAGGCATAATGATGTTGGCGAGAGGAGCAGGAACGAGAATGCATGATGAGCAGCTTCAGCTGACCGGTTTTTGACAACCAGCAGGGAGGAAGATCATGAGAATCTGAATTAGGGTGTTACTGTGTGTAGACTCACCTATATTCCCAGAGCATAAAATTGAATAAAATCTGTGAGCGCTTTAAAATTAGCTGCTGAAGCACACAAATGTAACCAAGTGAAACCTCCTAGAAGCTGATAATAACAAAGTGCAGCGCTAAAATAATAACATAATAAATAATGACACTAAAAGAGTAAATAAATGAATGATGTGACAGTTCGTGGTAAAGGGGCTGATAGTGACTTCAAACTTCAGTTTCATGTCAGAAGTGTAGTAAAAATACGCACTCACCAGATGCGTATTTTAAATACGCATGTAAGTAATATAGCCTTTAAAGGTGTCTTCCTTGGGACACCTTGGGGACAGGCTGACCATTCCTTGCACAAAGTGGCATTCTGGTGCTAAGTGCATGGCACTTTAACTAAGAGCTCATTCCAGATGATACAGTGGCAGAGGTTCGAGTGGCAGTGTTCCATATATCCAGAAGAGGGAACTGTTCCATTATTATTGGTTGACAAGCATCCGTCAATCCATTAAGGAGGCCTCTGGCTGGACCCTACCTGCACCCACCAAGGAAGACACCTTTAAAGCTATATACCACCCAAAGGGAGGAGAATCCGTAAACGGCATATCCCATCCTGAGAGGAGGACCTCTGGCTATATTACTTACATGAGTATTTAAAATACGCATCTGGTGAGTGCGTATTTTTACCACACTTCTGACACGCCACTGAAGTTTGAAGTCACAATCAGCCCCTTTACCAAGCACTTTACCACGAACTGTCACATCACTTATTTACTCATTCATTTATTTACTCTTTAAGTGTCATTATTTATTATTTTAGCGCTGCACTTTGTTATCATATTCCCAGAGCAAGCACTAGATTTCTGTTTTTTTAAGCAAATGTGGACATTTTTTTCCACAAGCACAGAGTTGTGCTTTTAGTTATCTAAATATATATATTAGATGTAGTGGATACTTTAGTTTTCTTTTCTCAGGCTAAGTACAATTTTTGCAAAGACAGAAAAAATATTTGTTCTTCCCACAAATCCAATGTCCAATCCTTGGTCCACCCCTCCTGCTTAGCGCTAGTTATTTTTTAGTCCTGTCTAGATCCTTCCCCACTTCTTCCATGTTCCCTCAGTCAGTGTTAGGTATTTGCGGAGACAGGGCTCTGGGGTTGATTTACTAAAACTGGAGAGTGCAAAATCTGGTGCAGGTTTGCATGACAGGCAATTAGCTTCTAACTTCAGCTTGTTGAATTAAAGTGTTCCTAAACCCGCAACAGTACAATCAGTCTGTATATGCAGTAAGGCATGCTTGTTATACTCACTGTGGAACCTAAGGGGTTAATCCGCTGCATTGTGTATAAAGGCTGTTTGATCCTGTCTTCTCTGCCCCTCCTCTTGTTGAATGACCACCTGATACAAACTGAACCCGTGGTCAAATGCACATGCTCAGTTTGCTATGTATTGCTAGAGAGGTTTTTTTTTTTTGGGAGGGTGCATGTGATCAGCACAGGGCCAATCAGCACTGTCCAGACAGAGGTCAGAGTTTTCACATCCTCCTAGAGCAGAAAGAAAACTACAAGCTTTAACCAGTGCTCAGCTGAAGTCACAAGACTGCTCTATGAGACTGCTGATGAGAAAAGGTATTTAGCAGTTTATATTTACTAAAATAATTGTATTTCCATGTTCTGTGTACTGTGAGAGACCAGATATAGTGAATGCAGGGTTTGGGGGGACTTCATATAGTGAATGCAGGGACCGGGGAGACCGGATCTAGTGAATGCAGGGCCCGGGGAGAGCGGATATAGTGAATGCAGGGTCCGGGGAGACCGGATATAGTGAATGTAGGGTCCGGGGAGAGCGGATATAGTGAATGCAGGGTCCGGGGAGACCGGATATAGTGAATGCAGGGTCCGGGGAGACCGGATATAGTGAATGCGGGGTCCGGGGAGAGCGGAGTATAGTGAATGCGGGGTCCGGGGAGACCGGATATAGTGAATGCAGGGTCCGGGGAGACCTGATATAGTGAATGCAGGGTCAGGGGGAGAGCGGATATAGTGAATGCGGGGTCCGGGGAGAGCAGATATAGTGTGAATGCAGGGTCCGGGGAGACCGGATATAGTGAATGCAGGGTCCTGGGAGACCAGACATAGTGAATGCAGGGTCCTGGGGAGACCAGACATAGTGAATGCAGGGTCCAGAGAGACTGGATATAGTGAATGCAGGGACAGGGGAGACCGAATATAGTGAATGCAGGGTCCAGGGAGACCAGATATAGTGAATGCAGGGTCTGGGGAGAGCGGATATAGTGAATGCAGGGTCCGGGGAGAGCGGATATAGTGAATGTAGGGTCCGGGGAGACGGGATATAGTGAATGCAGGGTCCAGGGAGAGCGGATATAGTGAATGCGGGGTCCGGGAGAGCGGATATAGTGAATGCAGGGTCCTGGGGGGGAGACCGGATATAGTGAATGCAGGGTCCGGGGAGAGACCGGATATAGTGAATGCAGGGTCCGGGGAGAGCGGATATAGTGAATGCAGGGTCCAGGGAGACCGGATATAGTGAATGCAGGGTCCGGGGAGACCGGATATAGTGAATGCAGGGTCCTTGAGATCTGATATAGTGAATGCAGGGTCCGGGGAAAGCGGATATAGTGAATGCAGGGGTCCGGGGAGACCGGATATAGTGAATGCAGGGTCCGGGGAGACCGGATATAGTGAATGCAGGGTCCTGGGAGACCAGACATAGTGAATGCAGGGTCCTGGGAGACCAGACATAGTGAATGCAGGGTCCGGGGAGACGGATATAGTGAATGCGGGGACAGGGGAGACCGATATAGTGAATGCAGGGTCCGGGGAGACCGGATATAGTGAATGCAGGGTCTGGGGAGAGCGGATATAGTGAATGCAGGGTCCGGGGAGAGCGGATATAGTGAATGTAGGGTCGGGGAGACCGGATATAGTGAATGCGGGGTCCAGGGAGAGCGGATATAGTGAATGCGGGGGTCCGGGGAGACCGGATATAGTGAATGCAGGGTCCTGGG